ATTTCATCGTGCGGGCAAATTTAGAACTAAGGGTCACAGTTTTAAAATAAGACAAAGATGAGGAAATAACATTCTCTCAAAAGATTGTGTCTTTAGAATTCCCCTTCTTCAAATGGCAGTAGTTGCAGAATCTTTAGATATTTGTTAAGGCAAATAGATTCTTGATTACCAAAGGGATGAAAGATTATTTTTTAATTTTTAATTCATTTATGGGATGAGGGCATATCTAGCAAGGCTAGACCATCCCTAAATGCCCAGAGGGCAGTTAAGAGTCAACTACATTGCATTGGAGTCACATGTAGGCCAGACCAGGTAAGGATGGCAGTTTCCTTCCCTGAAGGACATTAGTGAACCAGGTGGGTTTTTCCAACAATCGACAATAGGTTCATGGTCATCATTAGACTCTTAATTCCAGATTTTGTTTGAGTTCAAATTCTACCATGGCGGGATTTGAACCAGGGTCTCCAGAACATTACCTGGGTCTCTGAATTAACAGTCCAGCAACAATACCACTAGGCTATTGCCTCCCTCGTTATCAGCAGGTATGGAAGAATGTGGAGTTGAGGCTAAAACCAGATTAGCCATGATCTCATTTTCTGTTCAATGGGCCAAAGGGCCTACTCTTGTTCCTTGTTCATATGAAGGTGCATGCATCGGGTCAAGCCCGCAGACAACAAATTAGAAATAACCAACTATGAGGTAGCATTTCAGTGGTGGGTTTCCCAAACTCCTGCAGCAACAGGCTGCAAGGAGCTCAGGCAGGGATAAAATTTCACCCTGCCTCTTTTATGCTTGGGACGAACAATTTGTCAATAACATCCTAATGAGCTTTCTTTTGATTGACCGGAGCAATCTCAGCGGAAAAGGTGTGCATTTGTTCAGCAACCTTGATGATCTTAGGCACCTCCAAAGACTTTGCAGCCAATGGCCTAAGTCTAAGGGTTAGTCATCGCCTCAGCATAGGAAATTTATACATAGCAAGATCCCAGAAATAGCAATGTGATAAATGGCCAGTTCTCCCGATGGAGCTGGTGCTGCATATTGGTCGGGACACAGAGGATCATGCACCTCCCTGATTGCCTGGCGCCTCTCCACCAGAGGGGCAGTTGGATGACAGGCTCAAGTTCCCACCTTCGATTAGTGTCAGTGGCCAATTGGGAGGTTTCCATTCATTGCATGAGTGTATCAAAGCCAGTACTGGTCTTTGTGTAATACAGCACACATACATTATACTCAGCCACACTGTCACCAGTTTGTCCACCTCTGATAATACCCAGTTCCCTAAACAAAGCTCAACCACATCTGAAAAAGAATGGGGCACATGATTCACGGCAGGAATGCAGAATAATTCACTGTGACCATTTACATCCCTCACAAAAAGGAGCGATGTTCTGAATGCTCCACTGACTGAAAACCAGTCTGCCTCTAGTTCTTTCATTTCACCATAGGAGCTCAGAGTGGGTAGGACCATTTTTTGATGCGACACACATCCTGCTCTTTTGCCACACAGTTTCATGAAGGCTGCTTTCAGATTCACAGACCAAAGAAGGTCATTCCAGCTTGACATCAAGCTTTTGATTAAATAAATCCTTTCATCCATCAAGCCCAGGCAGAGAATTCTTTATTGGTTGTGATTCTATCCCACAGCTTTATAGCCTGGGTCAAAGAGTTGAACAACTTTTAAATTGAATCCTTCTGTTCTACGTGCCCAAGGCTCACATTTCACATCCTTCTGATAAATTAAACCAGGGCCCAAAGGGGCATTTTTGATGCTCCCTTCCTTAATTGTTGCCAAGTTTAGAAGCTGTTTTAACAAAAAAGTCAACAAGGACCTTAAATAAACAGCTTCTAATCGCAAGTATTTGTCCAATTTAGGTGCTGAGGCAGCCAATTTCTTTCTCAATTTACTTGGTATCAAATGCTGCAGCTATGTTTCCATTTGCAAAACAAACTGTCTGGACCATTTCAGAGGGTAGTTAAGAATCAATCCCCTTGCTGTGGGTCTGGAGTCACGTGTAGGCAGATTTCCTTCTCTAACGGACATTAGTGAACCAGATGGGTCTTTACAACAACAGGTACTTGGTCACCATTGGACTAGCATTTTTGAAATTCCAGATTATATTTATTGAATTGGAAATGTCACCATCTGCCATGATGGGATTCAAACCCATGTTCTCAGGATATCAGCCTTGGAGGTCTGGATTACCATCCTGTAATATGTCTACTACGCCATCCCCTCCTCAGGATAATAAGCACATCATCTTTGGACCCAAAGTTCTTATGACAGCCCAGGCAAATTATTCAAGCATCGAAAAGGAGACCCTAACATTGATGTTTGGAATACAGCAATGCACACCAAGATCTTTGGCAAACATTTTGTAGTTCGACTGATCAAAATCCAAGGCAATGACTTAGACGCCCAGTACAAATCGGGATCGAAGATGACAACATTAGACAATCGAGTCAGCTCCAAGACCCAGCCAAGAATAAAAATGTACCCTTGGATCAGTAGATGTCACTGAATATGAAGTGGAAGACAATCTTCACACTGATCTCTTCATATTGGTCACAAACTCAACAAGGTACATCTGACAATGACCAGCCACGGGGGCTGAAATGGATTATCACTAGTAAGGACATTAAGCAGGTTGCCAAACCAGTATGTCCTTCTTGGCCATATTAAGAAGTGGTAGACCCATTGGGAATTTTTTTTTTGAGGGCAAACAAATGTTGATACCAAAAATTGTCCATCAAGATATGTTGAACCATCTGCATATTTGTCATGTAGGTGCAGAGAAAACCAAAAAATCTAGTAAGTGAATCTGTCTATTGGTCTGGCATCAACAAAGACACAGATAAAGTGATATAATCGTGCGAGGCATGTTAACATCATGAATCCCAGCAGTGTAATGAACCACTTATGTTGCACTAAATTCCCTCTGAACTGTGCTCCAAGATTTTTACAGATCTATTCCAAGTCCATGACCAAGATTATAGCTGGTGACAGATTACAAAGTTTCCTTTCAGTAGGAAGTTCATGGACAATACCATTACCGCAGTTGCTGACATGTTAATTGCTATCTTCAGCATGTTTGCATCCCACAGCAGATCATGTGAGACAATGGTCTTCAATATGTCTGCACACCATTCCAGAATATGTACAGGATGTAGCCAGTCCAGCATATCACTCCCTCTCTGCATTATCTACAATCCAACAGTCTGGTTGAGCATACTAGATACACAAATAAAGCAATGATCGCGAAGTGTAAGGCAACTTGCCAAGCCTTCAAGATTGCCATGTTGAGCTATGAGCTACACCTCATAGCAAAGACCTACCCTCACCTGCAACTCGTATTGTTGGAAGACAAGTCAGTACAGGTTTGTTTGCCGCATACACCTCCTACCCGACCAGAGGCACACAGTTCCTCATTGGAGAGAAAGGAAAGAATAATGCGGGAACCTGATCGAAGAGTGTGAAAACAATTACCTCTGTTTCACCCAGTTCAAAACATGACACAATAAATACCAGCACTTGGGTATGTGGCAGAGTCATCAGAAAATGTGCTCAACTCAAATCGTATGACATTACTGTGATCAACGATCATGTTCTAAGATGCAATAGAAAACAGTGCTTTAAGCTAAATAACTGCAGAAGACAACATCTGGAGACACATTGGGAGTCATATCTACAATGTAGTGAGGGAGAATTCCAAACAGAATAGTACTGCCTGTATGTTTTCAGGGCAGTTTTGCCCAGGGACAGTCTTTTCATTGACTTTTCGATCAGGGCCAATTGTTGTTGGCTCAGGAAAGCTCAGCCAACAACAACAACTTGACTAGTTTCTGGTCAGGTGGCTACAGCCTTGTAAGTGGATGATACAACAGAAACATGAAGCCTGTGAAGAGAAAGCATGTATATCTGTCTCCGTCTCTCCCTTCTGTACACAGGAGTAAAGAAAAATCCCTAGTAGCCAGTCACTCTCCCTCAGCTTTCTCTGTAGGTTGTCCTCTCTGCAAATCCCCTGTTGAGAGAAGAAAACCATCTTCAGAGACACGGAAAAGGAAATTGTCAACTAGTGAATGAAAGACTGAGAATTGATGCATCCACTACCATGGATCATTTGTTCAGAACCAGAAGGAGTTGAAAGAAAATTGAAAGAAAACAACTCATCATCTGTGATCTGGACTGGTGCCTGAACTGTGCTTCTCAGACTTTTTACTCCAAAGGTTTAATCAGATTTCCACACCAGTGGCGCCCCTGGAATAATGAGGCTTGACTTCCAGCACACTATCCAACAAAGAGTTATGACAATGACCAAAACACTGATTCAAACACAGTTGTGTGAATACTAGATGACAACACAGTTCCTCATTGGAGAGAAAGGAAAGAATAATGTGGGAACCTGATCGAAGAGTGTGAAAACAATTACCTCAGCTTCACAGTGAACAGTCCATACCAAGCTACAAGGACACAGCATCAAACTGCACAATCTAAGAACTGTGCATCTGGTCACATCATATGCCTGCCAAAACATTATCCCAATGTGTAAAGATTGTGTGTGTAAATATGTGTTTGCTATTTATGATCTGTATTCTTGTGCATGCTTCTCATGGAGAAATCCTATGCCTTGAAGGGCGGATGTTGTGATATCGCATGTATCGATGATCAGACAAGCATATACCTTTAAGAGAGCTAAGTGATGACATAGGTGTGACAGCATGCCAACTGATATTACTGCATAAAGGTATTAGCTCCATCTTGGATAGCTCCTGTTACACTCTGTAATCCATCAGGAGAGTCAGTTAGTCAACCAGCTTGTGCTCAGACCACACCAATATCTGTGATAGAACAACTCAATACAATTCTATGAATAAATCTTCTGATACTTGACCTGAGTAAGAACCCAGTCTCGGGGTCACGTTACCAGAGGGAACACCATAACTTGAGAGAAGGCATCATGCTCAAGACTGGAGACTATTGATGTGATTGAGCGTACACACGGACAGTGCCCTATGTGTTAGCAGTTATTCCATTCATCGACTGACCTTAGGGGTTGAATTGTGGCCCAGAGTTGAACTATTGTACTTAGATGCAGCGGTCGAGCTGATTTTTTTCCTTGGCACTGTATCACTGAGGTATAAACCTTCTTTTTGCAGTTTCCTCCTGTCCTCCAGAGTCCGGCAGTTCTTTGAAATGAAAGATAGTATACACAAGTTCAAGGTAAACAAGACATTGACCGCAAAATATCCTGTTCAGCATCACATTCTCTTCTTGGGTCACTTCCCTGCCACACGTTGTTAAAGGTGACGCTATGGTTATTAAAGTCTACCATTTGGTCTAGACCAGGTAGAGTTCTCTACGTGCAGTTCATAAACAGTGACTATTTCTCAGCCAGTTTTTTTCCTCCTAAAATGATTGTAGTAATACTATGTGAAACCAGAATGGCGAGATACGGTTGAAAGGATAAAACATAATGCCAAAAAAAGGGTTAAAACCAACTCCATATCTGAAGCCTTTATCAAAATGTGCAATTGTAAAGAGGATACCTTCTTACAAAACAAAGTCCTTGCATTTATCCTGGACCTATCATAACCTTGAGATGAAGATGGGAGTTTAGAGGCTGTGGGATTTGAACAGTGGCTGCTGTAATATGGGAGATACAGGACCAATTTGTGCACAAGGAACCAACAAATCTATTTTAGATGCTGCTCAGGGGATAAATATGGACACCAGTTGAATGTCCCATCTAAAAGATGGCATATTTGACAGTGCAGCTCCTCCTCTGAACTGGACTGAAATGTCACCCTAGATTGCATGATCAATCCTGGGAGTGGGACTTGAATCCTCAAATAGCTGACCCCGTAGTTAGGCTGTTACACTGAAGACCAGAAGACAAGAAAGTGAAAAATTAAATGGATGCACGACTGAAGAATGCCAGAGTCTCACTGTGAACATATTTCTGCATATAAAAACCCAAGTAGTAGTTATTTTCTGTCATTGAGCCTCGAAAATGATGGGGAAATCTGCTAAAAGATGCTGCTGTCCTGTACTTGCGAATGTCAAAAGTTTACAACATGTTTGTTGATGCTAGGACCGTGACTGGCCCTCTCGGAATGCTACGTGGAGCCATGGACAAGCTGGGTAAGCTATTCATCAAGGCTCCTTAGACAGCACCTTCCAAACCCTTGACCACTATGCTGGAAGGATAAGGGTAGCAGAGATATATGGGAACACCAACACTGCAAGTTCCCCTCCAAGTTAGTCATGATCCTGACTTGGAAATGTACTGCCACTCCTGCACTATTACTGGGTGAAAATTCTATATTTCCCTCCCTCAAGACATCACAGGTCTACCTAGAGAAGATGGACTGTAACAGTTCATGAAGGCAGTTCACTATCACTTTCTCAAGGACAACTAGGAATGGGCAATAAATGCTGGTCCAAATACCCTACAGGCCAACACAGATACAGAAGACTTGCTTGCTTCCTATGCCTTGGCCCACAGGATGTCAGCTGATTGGATCTTATTCAGGAAAGGTGCTTCTTAGGGGGCGAGGAGATGGAAGATGAGCAGTAGGTGAGTTGGACAAGTCAGTGTGGAGTGGGCAAATGAGAAGCAGCATGGACCAGTTAGTCAATCGGCAAATTTGTGGAGGAGTAACATTATCGAGGTCAGGAAGCCAGGGGAGAGGTTATGGTCATTTTATTGCATCCAATTCAAGCAGATGTGTGCGAGAGGATCTTAGCCAGACAGCCTGAACTGCCGTTTAATTGAAAAGACTTTCTTGAAGAATAGTCAACAGTAGACTCACCTTCAACTAACATTAAAGATAGTTTTAATCCAAGTTGGCAGATTTGTCCACCTAAGGGAGGATCAATATTTCAGACAGAGAGCAAGTAAAGGAGGAAGTGAGAAAAAGGAGCAGGGTGCGGGGGTGGTGAGAGGGGTAACAGCAAATGTAAGGGGGGAGCGGAGAGTAAGAGCGAAGGTAGAGAGGGGAAGGTAGAGAGGGGAAGGGAGAGAGAGTGTCAGAGCTAAAGCAAGGGAGAAGGGAGAAAGATAGAGACAAAAGAGAAGGAAGGGAGAGGAATGCAGACAGTCAGAGAAGGAGAGGGCAAGGGAGAATGGATGGAGACAGAGAGAGAGAGAAAAACAAAAGAGAGAAGGGAGAGGAGAGTGCAAAGGAGTGAGAAAGAGATAGGTAGACAGAAGAGCGAGACAGATCAAAGGAAGGATATAGAATGATTGAAGAATCACAGTGTATTAGAAGCCAACAGATGCAGGCTGGAGAAGCCATGTATAAATACCCCCTGTAACATGCACTGTTTACCCTTTTCCAGTTTTACACAGTCCACAGCATATGAACAGCTACCAGAGTGAGAGCAGAGGGAGAGAAGTTACCTGTTTACGTCTGTGTTTTTTAGCTGGAAGAGGAGGAGGAGAAGGAAGAGTAGGAGGAAGAGCAGGAGGAGCAACAGCATCTAGACAAGGTACCACACTGTCAGACCAATGCACTGCCAGTGGTTTCTGCTCACGCCGGGTTGACAGCTGAGAAGGGGAGTCACTTCCAATGCAGGGAGGCGTTGGCTTTGAGAGCTAAACCAATGGAAGCAAGTTAGAAAGACTGAGGACAGAGAAAGGCAGAATTGGTTCAACACTCACTGTCTACAAGCACCGAACCGCATGCAAACTGATAGAGGAGACAACGCTGGGCTTCTAGGCAGGGGTGGAGGGGTGAAAACTAGTAATGCAAATCTGTACTCCAGAAATAACTACTCAGTAAATACCCTGAAGCCAGAAATGGAGTGAGGGAAGCTTCCACCCCCTGCATCACATGGAGACAGATTTGGGGCTTTTTGCTTCCTCTGTTACCTCAGCAATACCAAATAGTTAATTCAATGGGGCAGTGATGGTGGGGTCCACAGTCAGAACATTCTGCCTGCCAACCACCATATTGTGCTCAGCTCCCCTGGAGTGCCCAGAGTGGGTGGAGGATGGAGTTGGGAATCCGAATGTCACACAAACTGTCCACAGCCCAAATGCCCCGGACCCCAAATCAGTTTCCCAGCTGATGGCAGAGTAGCCATGCCAAGGGCCTACGAGGGTCGAGTCCAAATAAATCAGGCTCAGCCTCCTCCCGCACTGCCGTGTTGCAGCTAATTCCCATTTGGGACCTTTAGCAAAGCCAGGCCACAGTGAGATCCAGGGGTTGAGAATAGGAAGCTGAGTGGGTGCCTCAGGAATTAAAACAAGTGGTCCCGCAATGGCCTCAGGAGAACTCCTCCTTCCATCTCAACAGTGAGGTGGCCACTGAAGCTGTTTTGAAGCTGTTCCTTTAAGTAGTACTACTCTGCACCCAGAAATATCATGGTGGGAAGGGAGCCTTGACTTCAGACAAATGAGTTTAATCAGGAGACAGGTTCTGAAATGGCAGCAGTGGGTCATTTGTGCATGCGTGAGGGGAGGCGGTAAATCATTATTTCAGGTAGACATCAGGGCCAACAGCCGGACCTATTTAGTACAGACCTTGTTAGATTATTTAAGACAGTAACGCAGCTACATTTCCTCTCTCTCCCTCTCTCCACCCTTACCAGCCACAGGTTCACGTTGGCCATTTGTTGAAACCTAGGTCAAACTAACCAAGCTCCTGGTGGTGTTGCTGTGGTGTTACCTGTTGGGGCCTGGGCTCTTCGGTGACTGCCTCAGGAGCCGCGGCGACAGAATCGGGGGGAGCACCGGTCTTTGAGCTGCTATACAACTGGTTAATCTGGTTCACAGTCACATAGTCCTGGGCAGAAAGAGGCAGGAGCGGAGGGAGAAAGGTCAAAAGTGGAAAGCTGAGTAGTAAACAGCAGAATTGGAGTAAAGGACAGGGAGGTGCTGCACAGATTTGGTAGTGATCAGCAAGAAAGGACAGTAAGAGAGAGACTGAAAGAAAAAGACAGAGAACAGCTGAACGGCACCATGCAACAGGTATTGAGAATAGGTAACACAAGGCACAATAGCAGACGGCAGACTTAGGTATCTGCCACATTTAGCTACTGCACCTTGTGAGGAAACACACATGCTACAATCTTCTGCCTTGGTCTGAACCCATCTCCATGGCAACTCTCCCCCCATCCCCTCCCAACTTCCTGAGGGAATATCAGTATCTCTCCAGGTGAACTGTTTCTGTTCATGCCAAGGAGAGCTCTGACCGAGTGGGAAGTGCAGGACTGGATGGACCAGGGGTATGTCAGGGTCAGGTTTCGATCCCGCCCAGTAGCTCTCTCTACAAATTTCAATAAACAGTAAAAGCGAATACGGACTAAAAGCCAATGCTGCACTTGAGTCAGTTAGAAGCTGTTCCCACTTGTTAAAGAATAAAGAAGGCACAGATTTAAAATGACCTGCAAACAAAGCAATCCTCCTTCTGTGTGATTATACTTTGTGAGTCTGAGAGAACTGATATTAGTTTTCATGGTCACCATGACTTCTGACTACGTTTGTGATTGCAGACTTGTGAACTGAATGTAAATTCCACCAGCTGCCATATTGGAATTTGAATCCATGTCCCCAGATTATTAGCCTGGGCCTCTGGGTTATGAGCCCAGTAACATCCCCATTATAGCACTGTCTCCCTGAAGCATGGTATGTCAGTCTAAATTAGCAACGATGCCCAATAACCTTTGAACAGGCCTCGTGTGTATTTGCTAAAGTGTTCACAGGATCTGCATCACCTCCTGCACTCGATTAAGCAGCTACTCTCAAATTGCCCAAAGAAATCCAAATCGGCTATCCCTTAAGAGAAAGCATAACCACCTCCCAAACTTATGGTTCTTATTCCTGAGTTCAACCGGAATTAAGAAGGAGCAATTTCATGGAAAGGCACTCAGCCAGAGGGTGGACATTTCCTATCACATCTTTCGCCTGAATATATGATCTCAAAGCTGTCACAGCTCCAAGAAATCATGGTGTTACAGCTCGAGATGTACTGGGAAATTGGGAGAGGAGGGTGACTCACTCCATCCTCTGTAATCCCCAGACGGTAGATGGCACGAAGAGAGGAACACCTCAGATCTTTTACCAGAGCTGTACAGGGCAATCGTGAGACCACGTCTGGCATTCTAATGTATAGTTTTGTTCTCTTTATTTGAAAAAAAAGTGATATTTCTGAGAAGGTACACAACTCATTCCTGGGAGGAAGGACTTTTGTTACGAAGAAAGATTGAACAAATTAGCCTTGTATTCCTTGGAGTTTTGCCCAATAAGGATGACTTTATTGAAACATATATGATCTTGAGAGGACTTAATAAGGTGGATGTTTCCTGTTATGGGGAGACTAAATCTAGGGGACATTGTTTAAGAATAAATGGTGTCCCTTTTAAGACAGAGATAAAGAGAATTTTTTTTCAGAGGATTGCTTGTCTGTGGAATTGTCTTCCCCACAAGGTAGTGAAGGAATGAGTCTTTCAATTTATTCAAGGGTGAGTGGATGCATTTTTGACAGGCAGGACATTCAAGACCTATTACAGGCAGTCAGGAAAGTGGAGCCGGAATCACAGCCAGATCATTCATGATTTAGCTCGAGGAACTGAATGGCCTACTTATATTCATATGTTCAGACTAAAAGACTTCAACTCCAGGATAATCACTGAAACAACTGTTTAGAAGATGGGGGAATGCTACAGACAATCAAACAGCACAGAGACACTGTGGCCATATGGAAATGGAAGAACTTCTGTGGATAACAGCAAGTTGAGCTGCTCAATACACATCCATACTGCAACTCTGAAGCAATTGAGGACTTAAATACATTAAGAAAACAGAAACATGCTCTGTGGACCCTGGTTCAAATCCCACCACGATAGCAAGTGGCCTCTGAATTCAATTAATTAAATTCAATAAAAGCTATTCTCAGCGACGGTAACACCGGCAATGACCATCAATTGTCGTAAAAACCCATCTGATTCACTAATGTATTTTAGGGAGAGAAATCTGCTATCCTTATCTGGTCTGGCCTACATGTGACTCCAGACCTATAATAATACGGTTGAATCTTAACTGCCCTCTGAAATGGCCAAGTCTTTTACTTGAAGGGCAATTTACGGAAGGACAATAAATGCTGGATTTGCCAAGGATACCCAAATCCTACAAAAGAATAATTAAAAAAAGAAGAGACCGCAGCATAGGCTTCAGCTGTTGACTTTATACAGGACAAAACTAGTCAGTTCCAAGCCAAGTGGGAAAGCTCTGAGCCAGCTCCCCTAATTCTGGGAATGAAATCCAAGTTAGGTAAGGGGAGTCGGCAAATTCGTCCCTTTCTCTTCCCACCATACTTACAGCTTATCCTCTGACTCAAGCTAATGGAAAGTCTTCCCTCAGCCAGGTGGACATCTTCACTTCTCTCCCATTCATTGCCAAGAGCAGGTCAGCAGTTAGATTGCAACTGCCCCACTTCCTGGTGATGCACCTGGCACCAGGCCAGTGCACACATGGGTCTAGAAGACCTCACGAGAGGAATAAACTGGCAGGGTTTCCCATGATATCATAGCAAATGCACCTATCAAAAAAGGGCATTGCTTCACAGGGCCCTGGGGAGCAGAATCTTTCCCTATCCTACTCCCTCCTCCCCATTTCCCCAAAATCTCTTTTCTAATCAATTCACTGCAAGCCCTTTCTGACTCTCTTCAGGACCACTGGAAGAGAGTGGAAGACTGATGGTTAAAATCTCCTGTTACCATCAACTGGAACTAACTCCAGCTTAAAGCTCACATGGTGCCTCCTAAAAGAAAAAGGTAACGTCTTCTCCTTTTATTTTTGACGGTTAATTCCTCGCTCAGGTTCAAGGGACCTGGTGTGATAGTAGAACAACCAACTAAAGCCAAGAGACAGATTAACTTGAAGGAACTGGACTTCCAAGAGCGCCACAAAACCATTGGAAGCAGGAGTCACAACTGAACGGCCAATCTGGCAATGGGAATGACAGCTGAGTGCCCAGCTACAATGGAATGAGGGGGGAGCACACTGCTGATAACAGAAATGAGAAATGTCTAGCTTGTAAGGGACGATTTTTCACAGACAACACTAGCTGGGTTTGGGCAGAGAATGGAGGCTCCATCTGGCAGTAACGAGTTAGGGATAATCTTGGCACATTGCAATAGCCTGTATTTCTGGCCTTCTAGCACAATAAGTGTATGCTTCCGAGTGGATCAGTATGTATGAGGAGCTTTACTGGAAGTTCCTAGGCATAGATGGGCTCGTTAGCAATTTGAGAATAGAAATTGCTGCACTTAAACAACTAGAGTTGGATAACAGGAGTGTTTGTAACCCGATGCAGGCAGCTCGTCTCATGTGGTCTACTCTGGGATATCTGAACAAGTCATGTGGGCAAAAGACAACATCACATTTAAAAGACTGTGTAAGTGCATAAAAAGATGCAAACGTATAATTACCTCCTTAAATGTATTCGGATTAATAGGGAGGCCTGCCCCTCCTGTACTGTCGTAATACATCTTCTCGATATTCATCAGGTTCTCTTTCTCCTACAGGGAAGAAGACAGTTTTTGATTCATTTTTAGCCAACTGAGGTTGTCTAAATTCAAGTGGGCCACCTTCATTGTGTAAGAAATAATGACCCATGCTCAAGAAGAAGCTGTAACCTGGGAAGAGGAGGCAGCCATTCAGCCTCTCCAGCCAGTACTGCTGTTCAATCAGACCATTGTTGATATATATCTCAACTCCACTGGCTCCAACTTCCTGATGGGCTGACCCTGTAGAGTAAGTAAAGGGTTAACTCTCAAATATGTAGTCAGCCTCCACTGGGAGTGATATAACAGGTCACATGACAGCAGAAGGTGGAGAGAGATGATTCAATGCACAACCTCCTGTTAAGCTTAATCGTGTAAATGATTAGCAGGATGTTAAACAAAAAGGCAATCTTACCAACAGCATACACTTTGGTAGTCTCTCTATATTCTGACCATGGACACAACCTCTTCTAAGATCTCTACCATGACAATGACTACCATGGAAGAAAATCTATCCATCTTAACTTCAATATTCCAAATAATTTTCAGTATCCAGTTATTTGGGGAGAGTTCCAGATTTTCAACCCCCTTCATGTGAAGAAGTACTTCCTGACATCACCCTTGAATGAGTTCACTCTCACGTTAAGTTTCGACCCTTCCTTTGGCCTCCCCATCACAGGAAAGTTTCTCCCCAACTCCCCTACAAAATAGTTTCATCCTTTTAAGTACCGTGCTTAAATCAACCCCTTACTAACTATGATGAAGACAAGTTTAGACAATCTGCTTTCCTGGTCCCCATTTGTTGAAAGATCCACTGTCATTCTGCAGGAAAGGCGTCTGGAGCCAAGCACAGCTGCTGTTTTAATTCCAGTGACTGGAAGCAAAAGCTTCATCCTGTAACTCGAGCCTCCGGTTGACTGTGACCCCCACACACTAGGCTGCTGAAGGAAGATACTGCGCCCTGGCAAACAGACACCATCATTCAAATGCTAGGAATTCAATTACTGACCACCAGCATCTGAATAAAGCATTTCAGTATAATCCCATCCAACATCACAGAGACAGCTCAAAGTCATTAGCAACGTTCAACCACACTGTGGGAATGGCCTCAATCAGCCCCTTAAGCAAAGCCCAGTGAGGTACTGACACTCATGAGAATGATTTCAGGCTGCTACAAATACTCAGTTCCCAGCAGCATTCATGGTTCCTTGTTAAACTGAGAAAAAGTGAAAGGGCAAGGACCAGAGTTTCGTGACCGCAAGGTTGAAACAGTAAGGGCCATAGCACAGGTAATTGAAGAGGTGAAAGGGCAAGGACTGAGCACAGAAGTGAAACAGCAAGGACCATTATGCAGTGTAGGATATAGAACAACTGGTTTAGCCATCTTGATCACAGAGAAGGGTTTCAAATTAACACTTACGTATTGTACACATTCTAGGAACTCCTCAACCTTACTCCCTCTACTTACCTCAGCTGACCAATTAATACTGAGATTCCCCCATATTATTTCCCAGTTATATTTTACTTATTTCTCTGAATTGTTTTCATATGTCTGCCTATATCACTCTTCCACTATTAGGGAGTCTGTAGCATCATGGCCTTTTTTGCAGTAGTGTGCAGCCAGTTTGTTCAGGGGTGCTGGCCCATAAGTTTTGTTTTGCAGAGTCGCATCTGTAAATTAATTAAAGGGAGGAGGGTTTGGAAGGGAGGAAATGTAAGCTTATAAAGCAAGAGAATTTGACAGTATTAGAGGGGAGCCATTTGAATAACAATACAGAGGTGGACAGTCTACAACAGAATAATCACAGTAAATAGGGTGAAAGGGGAATAAACGGTAAAAAGACAAAATTAATGGCTCCTTACTTGAATGCATGCAGTATTTGGAACAAATTAAATGAATCAATGGCACAAATACAGATTATATGATCTCGCAGCCATTAGGAGACATGCTTATAAGGATATCAAAACTGGCACTAAGGAAAGGTTGGTGGAGTGGCTTCGATAGTACAGGATGGATTAAGTGTAATAGCAGGAAATGATCTTGGATCACATGACATAGAATCCATATGAATGGAAATTAGAAATAACAAGAGCAAGAAGTCACTGCTAAGAGTAGTCTACAGACCCCTAAGAGTAGCTGTTCTGTAGGGTAGTAAATAAGTCAGACGATAATGAGTATGTGTTAAAAAGGCAGCACAATAATCAGGGCTAACTTTAATCTTCACGTAGATTGAGAAAGTCAGATCAGCAGAGGTAGCCATGGGGAAGAATTCAAAGACTGTATTCAGCACAGTTTCCTAGAACAAAATGCTGTTATTGCCAGCCCTCCCAACTGTGGCCAAAGCCCCTCGCCGGCCCTCCCGACTGCAGCCAAAGCCCCTCGCCGGCTCTCCCGACTGCGGCCAAAGCCCCTCGCCGGCCCTCCCGACTGCGGCCAAAGCCCCTCACCGGCCCTCCCAACTATGGCATCTCTTGCCTTAATGACCATTGGACTATGGCCATTCCCCTTACTGAACATCTGACTGTGGCCAACCCCTTTCACTGACCTTTGGCTGTATCCTCTCCCCTACCCTGTTGCGACCTTAGACAACTCTGATCGGTAGGTGCAAAGTTATCTGATTGCCAACCAGAACCCAAACTGCTCCATTATATTGCTCAGCTTCTGAAGGATAAGATTGTGAAACATAAAGGATAATACCTGTTGCTCTTGTGTTCTTTTTCTGCTATTGTGGAGGAGTGGGGAGTGTCCCTCTGTCTGAACCAGGAGCTCCAGTTTCAAGTCCCAATCCAAGATCTGATGGCTTACATTTACAGCAATGCAAACAAGGTGCAAATCTTCCTAAAACATACTGATGGCAGGCAGTAAAAGGAGAGATTCATAGTCAGCTGCGTGATTGAGAGAAATCAGAGCTTCTGTCATCACTCTCTGTAGCTGTATATTGCCATGACAACTCAGACCCTTGGGTGGGCTGGGATGCTCAGTTGGCTGGATGGCTGTTGTGGATTAGATTGGTGACAACTGCAGGGGGTTCAATCCCTGTTTGGGCTGAGGTGGATTCAGGATCCGTCCTGCCCTAGGTGGAGATCACAGCGCTGGGGACTCGGGACCCAGCCCGGGGTGGAGATCACAGCGCTGGGGATCGGGACCCGGCCCGGAGTGGAGATCACAGCGCTGGGGACTCAGGACCCGGCCCGGGGTGGAGATCACAGCGCTGGGGACTCCGGACCCGGCCCAGGGTGGAGATCACAGCGCTGGGGATCGGGACCTGGCCCAGGGTGGAGCAGATTCCTCCCTGAGCCTTCTCTTAGCCAGATTGTCTATGTTTCCACCCTTGCTCCTCTTTTGCAACTGTTCACACCTTCTCTGGACTGATCTTTCTTCCCCACAATTTTCATCCGATCCTCAGTTCCATTTGTAGTTGAATCATTCCTGGTTCCTCTCACTCCAAAATTTTGCATTCATCACCCTTCTGCTCTTTCTCCTTAGCTATGCACTCTTATTTAAACTGTTGATCAGTAAGTTCAGAGCGGACCATTCTGGCCATCGACCTGAAAGGTTAACCGGGTTTCTCTCTTCAGAGATTCCACCAATTTCTGCTTATCCTGACCAACATTCCCGAGACCACCACTCCCAGGCTGGGTTAGCAGCTCAAAACACACTGGCCAATCATCATGTAGCCCCCTTGTGTTTTTTTTTGGAGGGGTTGAAAATGACAGAATTTTCCAATATAGGATCCAGCTGTTCTGCTTGTAACACTTACTCTCTGCAACATAGCAAGTAAACTGTTCTTCTCCTTTGCAAAATGTTGACGCTCCAGCTCAGCTTGTTGCACAATCTGCCCCGCCTGACTTCCAAGTGATGCGATCCTTTTCTGTCAGAGAAAAGCAGCGAGAACCAGCTTTGGTGAAATGGCAATCTGTTGGCTTATCCTTAAAAATTAGTCAGTGAATAAGTGACAACAAACAAATTTAAAGATACATGTTTCTTTGTCCCCTTCACCACTTAATGTAAAACACAACAATTTTGGCATTTAATCGCCACCCTTACTTGCCTTGTGAACATTAACAATCTGTCTTGTGAAATGGGTTATGGCCCAGAGTGAGTCAGGATGCTGGGTTTTCTCATTACAATGAACCTGACAGGGCCAGTTGGATTCTAGCAGGTTTTCCAGATGTTGAGTGCTGGTCCAACATTTGGGAGGTTTGTGGAACTCAAACATGACAGTGGTTTCTGTCACTGGATGATTAATCTATTTCTGAAGATACTAGACTCAAAACATTAACTCTGTGTCTTTTTCCACAGATGCTGCCAGACTTGTTGAGTTTGTCTAGCACATTACGTTTTGCTTTTAAGTAATCCAGAGGCCCAGGTTAATGCTCTGGGAATATGAGGTCAAATCCCACCACGACAGCTGATGGAATGTAAACTCAATGAATGAATCTGAAATAAAAAGCTAGTATTAGCAAGGGTGACCATTAAAACAATCATTTATTGTAAAAATACATTTAGTTCACTAATGCCATTCTTACCTGGTCTAGCCTACACATGACTCCAGATCCATAGCAATGCTGTTGCCTCTTAACTGCCCTCTGAAATGGCTGAGCAAGCCACTCAGTTCAAGGGCAATTAGGGTCGGGGGACGAACGGGGTTGGGGTCTTGATGCCCACATCCCATAAAAAGAATGAAGAAAATCAAATCTCACAACTGGTCATGGTGGGCTTCAAACCCACGACTTGTGTGTGTATACATGTAGGGTGCTTAATTAGTTTATTACCATAATCAATGCACCACTGTTCCTCAGAGGGGCTCTCAAAGGGACTGTAATTGAGGAAAATCTCCATTCCAGCCCTCGCAAGATGTGAACTTTTATTTGTGTTACTATCATTCACAACCCACGTTAGCCCTTTTATCAACCTGCAATGGTATCCAATATTAAACATGCTATATTTGCCCAAACTTTCTGACAGCTCTGTTTGCACTGCATTCCCCATTTATAATGAGATCTATGTAAAAGTAGTGAAAGGGATCAATTCTGGTTGACAGAACAATTTAGCAACCCATTTGGGAAAATGAAACAGGCATGGTGTGAAATGAGCCACCATTTTGCTTTGATTCCATTGCACACCATCAGGGAGGGCAATACTTTAATGCCTGCTCTGTTATGTACTAACTGCACCTCTGACCAGTGGAGACACTCCAGCTTGGAAATTAAAATCACTGTGGAAAGGTGTTTCCAGGCAGTCTCAATTTGATAAGCCTGGGCAGGGACTTGCAAAGATGTGCACTCAAACCTTCAGTTGGCTTCCCAGATCAAGGTGAAGTGTTGACAGATTTGCTAATTGTGGACCTATAGAACCATACAGCACAGAAACAGACCCTTCAGTCCAACCAGTCTATGCCCAACATAACCCCAAATTAAAACAGTCCCACCTGCCTGCTCCTGGCCCATACCCCTCCAAACCTTTCCTATTCATGCATCTATCCAAATGTCTTTTAAACGTTATAATTGTACCCACATCCACCACTTCCTCAGGAAGTTCATTCCACATGCGAACCACCCTCTGTGTAAAAAATTTGCCTCATGTCTTTTTTTAAATCTCTCTCCTCTCACCTTAAAAATGTGCCCCCTAGTCTTGAAATCCCCCTATCCTAGGGAAAAGACAACTACCATTAACTCTAACTATACCTCTTATTATTTTATAAACTTCTATCATTTCACCTCTCAACCTCCTACACTCCAATGAAACAAGTCCAAGCCTATCTTTATTAACTCAAACCTTCCATACCTTGCAACATCCTGGTAAATCTCTTTTGAACCGTCTCCAACTTGATAATATCCTTCCTAAAACTGGGTGACCAGAACTGGACACAGTATTCCAGAAGAGACCTCACCAATGTCGTGTATAATCTCAACGTGACATCCCAACTCCTATACTCAAAGGACTGAGCAATGAAGGCAAGCGTGCTAAATGCCTTTCTTACCACCCTTTCAAATGTAATGCAAACTTCAAAGAATTATGTACTGTACCTCTAGGTTTCTCTGTTCTACGAGACTTGTTCGCATAAGGCATAGGGATCTTCTCGTGGGATTAACTGGATTCTTAAAGAGCTACCACAGGCCTGAGTGGCCTCTGCTGAGCTAAATAACTCTACAATGCCAAAATTAACTTTATCCATTGTTATTTAACTTTCGTTTCTCGCTCTGAGTCTGTACGAGGTGCAACTTTTCCCACTGAAATGCCTACCTCCCGCGTTGCAATGCTCTGTTGATACTCGGCCATTTCACCCAGGAGCTGTTTGGACAGATTCTCCTTCTCTTCTTCTAGCCGGCTCTCTTGTTCCAGTTGCTGAAACTCTAAATCATCGTATCGTTTTACCTCCGAATCCAACTGCTCACCGTCCTGGAGAGAGATAAATCCATCAAATACTTAAAACATAACAGTAATCAATCCACTACCACGGGGGTCACTCCAATACAATACGGATCACTCCTCCACTGTTCACCTGTAAGAGCTGCGGGTGCAGGGCATATACAATGTAGCAATTCTGCCTGACAGTCTGCCATGGGTCTGCAACATCAGTTCATTAGAAACATAAGACCAGGGGTAGGCCATTCAGTCCCTCAAGTTTACTCCATGGCTGATCATCTACCTTAACATTATTTCCCACGCTATCCCCTTATTCCTTGATATTATTATCCCTGTTGAGCTTCCACAACCCTCGGGGGTAGAGAATTCCAAAGATTCACCATCCTCTGAGTGAAGAGGCTCCTTCTCATCTCTGTCCTAAGTGGCTTGCCTTTTATTTTGAGGCTATGTCCCTTGCTTCTATAGCCCACAGCCAGGAGAAACATCCTTCCTGCATCCACTCTGTCTATTCTTTCAAGTAGTTGGCAAGTTTCAATGAGATCACCTCTCATTCTTCTAAATTTCTGTGAATACAGGCCCAGTCTCCTCAACCTCTCCTCACAGGACAGTCCCACTATCCCAGAAATCAGTCTGGTAAATCTCTGCCGTAGTCCTTCTTTACTAAGTATATCCTTCCCAAGGCAAGGAAGTCCAAACTGAAAACAATAATTGAGGGGTGGACTCACCTGTGTTCTGTACAACTCAACCAAGACTTCTTTGCCCTTGTGCTCAAATGCTCTTGAGATAAAAGCTAACATATCTTTTGCCTTCCAAATTGCTTGTTGCACCTGCATGCTAGCTTTCATTGACTTGTGAACAAGGATTCCTAGATCTCTCTGCACATCTACACTTTCCAATTTCTCACCATTTAAGAAATACTCTACAATTTCATTACTCCTACCATCATGGATAATCTCACACTTATCCACAATATATCCCATCTGCCATGCTCTTTCCCCCTCACTCAGCCTGTCTACATCCCTTTGAAGAATCTGCATTTTCCTCACAATGCATATTCCCACCAGGTTTTGTGTCAAATTCGCAAACTTGGAAATATTACAATAGTGTCCCATGTCCAAATCACTGATATAGATGGTAAATGGCTGGGGCCCAAGTACTGCTCCTTGTGATAACCCACTGATCACAGCCTGCCAACCTGAAATTAACCCATTTATTCCTGCATACTGTTTTCTGCCTAGTAATCAATCCTCAATTCATATATTACCCCATAATCTATGTGCCTTCAATTTTGTTTACTAATCTCCTGTATTGGACTGAAATTTCACATACGCCACATCCACTGGCCCGTCTTATTGATTTTGCTTGTAATATCCTCAAAATAAGCAAGATCAGGTTTGTCAAACAGGATTTTCACTTTTTTTTTAAAAATCCATTTTGACTTTGTCCCAACAAGCAACTATTTTCTAAATAGGTAGTATTCGCATCCTTTAAATTATGTTCTAGAATTTTCCATATTACTATCAATGGAATATGGGGTCTGTAGTTCCTACGTTTTTTTCTCTCCTTCCTTTCTTAATCAGTAGCGTTACATTGGCAATCTGAATTTTGAAAGATGATCAATCTCCACTATCTGTAGCCATCTCTTTTACCACACCAAAGTACAGATCTTTGCATCCCGGGGTTTTGTCAATTTTCAATGCTATTATATTCTCCAACACTACTTTTTTATTAATATTAAACTTCTTTTAGTTGTACACTCGCCTTAGACCCTTGGATCTTAATTATTACAGGAAGACGTCTTTTGTCTTCGTCATGGAAGATTGACCTAAAGCACCTTTTTGTCTTCTCCACCATTTCTCTTTTATAAAGTTTACTCATTGGATGTGGACGTCGCTGGCTGGTCAGCATTTATTGCCCGTCCCTACTTGTCCTTGAGAAGGTGGTGATGGACTATCTTCTAAAACCGCTGCAGTCTATGTGCTGTAGGTAGACCCAAAATGCCATCAGGTAGGGAATTCCAGGATTTTGAACCACAACAGTGAAGAAACAGCAATACATTTCCAAGTTGGGGTCATGACTAGCTTGGAGGGGAACTTGCAAGTGGTAATATTTCCATGCATCTGCTGCCCTTGTCCTTCTCAATGAATTGTTTGTGGGTTTGGAGGGGGCTATCTAAGGAGGTTTGATGAACTTCTGCAGTACGTCTTGTGGACAGTACACACTGCTGCTACTGAGAGTCGTCGATGGAGGCAGTGGACACTTGAGAATGTGATGACAACCTAGTGGGCTGCTTTGTCCTACATAATATCAAGTGTGTTAAGTGTTGTTGGGGCCACACTCATGCAGGTAAGTTGTGAATATTCCATCACACTCCTTCCTTGTGCCTTATAGATGGTGGACAGGCTTTGGGGAGTCAGGTGATGAGCTACTCACAGTATTCCTAAACCTATACATGCTCTGGCAGCCACTGTATTTATATGGCAAGTCCAGCTGAGTTGATAGTGGGAGATTCAGTGCTGGTGACAGTATTGAACGTCAAGGGGCGATGGTCTAATTGTCTCTTATTGGAGATACTCGGTGCCTGGCATTTGTGTGGCACGAATGTTATAAGCTTTAAAGTAAAATTCTCCTGTTGCTGCCTGTCATTTATCTTCACTAATATTTTACTTTTTCACTACTTATAGAATCTTTTACAACCCATATTTTAAGTTTCATTCTATTTTAAATTGATATTCTATTCTCTCTTACTTTATCAGTTTCTTGTTTCGCCTTTGTTGAATTCCAGAACTCACCTACCTTTATGAGTAACTTTATAAGCTTCTCCTTTCATCTAATACTATTTTCAACTTCCCTCATTTGCCATGACACACACACTTTTCTTGATAGGTATTCTTGCTGTGAAGAGGTTCTTTTTTGAAAATCATACATTAATTCCTTAAATAACAATCTTCGCCATGTTATACTTTTTTTGTATTTTTCCAATTCACCACAGTAAACCTCCTCCTCATATCTTCATAATTGATGTTGTTTAAGATCCGTTTAAGATTGAACTACATTTAGTCTTTGGAGTGTACAAGAATGAGAGGCAACCTATTGAAATGTATAAAATTGCTAGGGGACTTGACAGGGCTTTCTTTAACATTTATTCATGGAATGTGGGCGTTGCTGGCTAGACTAGCATTTATTGCTTAGCCCTAATTGCCCAGTGGGTTGTTAAGAATCAAATACAATGTTGTGGATTTGGAGTCACATGTAGGCCAGACCAGGTAAAGGATGCGGAGAGGTTGTTGCCCTTTAGTTTAGGGCCAGAGGGCATAATCTTAGAATAAAGGGTCACCCACTTAAAACAGAGTTGAAGAGAAATTTCTTCTCTCATGGGTAGCGAATCTGAGGAATTCTTTACCACAGAGGCTGCAGAGAATGGGTTATTAAGTATATTCAAGGCTGAGAGAGGCAATAAAGTGAAGTTGAGGATTATCTGATTAGCCATGATCTCATTGAATCGTAGAGCAGACATGGCGGGCTGAATAGCCTACTTGCGCTCCTACATCTTAAATTCTTATTAACAAATACAGAATATATGTCATTTAGACAGAAACTTACAGAAACCACAGACTACTTCTGCAGCAGAGAAAAGAGCTCATTGTAATTTTTCAGATGGGGTGCCAAACAGAATTGTTGTGTTTTTGATCACATCCAATCCTGTGGAAGCTTTCTAGAAAGCTACGCTAAACAAACCAAAGATTTATAACGTTGAATAACTATTGGAAGATGAACTCAAGTATGAAGTAATCATCACAGGCCAAAGCCTAGAGGTACTAAGTTGAAACCTGATGGTCAATACAATTACTAGAAACACCCAACCACACTAAGACATGTAGAAGGTGTAGCCTTCTGCATGCACTAAGGAAATGCCCAGCTTTCAACCAAGTTTGTGAGGTGTGTGACTGAAAAGGCAATTGACATTGGCACTGCACTAAAGTAAAGGCTAGTGCAGCTACTATGAGATAGCAAGAACTGCAGATGCTGGAGTCAGAGTCAACATAGTGTACAGCTGGAAGAATGCAGATCAGACAGCATCAGAAGAACAAGAAAGTCAACGTTTCGGGTCGGGACCCTTCGTCAGTTCTGCTACTAAGAGCTGTGCACTGGCTCCAACAGATTGAGCACAAGGGCCATCTTCCAGCAGCAATAAAGGACATCAGGTAACATGGCAGAGGTGTACACATGAAGTGATTAACAAACCAGAATCTGATGATGTACATGACAAGATAAACGATAGCTTTCACATGTTTCACACTGACAATCACATAGGAAATTTCAATGTCATCTCACTGTCTGAAGTATTTGCAACATGTCAAATGATCCGTTATCAGAAAACTAGTGAATATTCCTTATTGACCAAGATTGAAAAAGGGCTAGTAGCAAAATAATACTCCCAAGGATTCTAAAAATCATGTATCCACATACATGGAAAGCCATAGGAAAGCCCATTGTGTAAAATGGTTGGTACACAATGAATACAATGGTTCACCAGTTCCCTGTGCAGGTTCTATAGTACAGACAATCTGCCTGGACATCTATATCGGTGGACACTGCTGGACCAACAATGACAAGTTTACCTACTTGTCACAACCCTGCAACAATCACAATCTATAGAATCGGTGCTACATCAGAAACACAACAGAAACGGCAGCAGACTATTCAAGAAACACTTGCAGAGCTGAATATGAAAGAATGAAACAGTTCACTTTCTGCTGAATTGGTAGAGCTAAAAGCACAACTCACAAGATGAATGAACGGCTGAAGAAGGTAGAAAGTAGGATAAGCTACAAACTCTTTCTCTTCCCATTGGTTTACAAATAGACTACGACTTTCACAGTTTCCCCTCAAATTGGTTTGCAGCCTCTTAGGGTTGGCACCCCTGGTACTATTGAAACAACACAGCCCTGCAGTATTTAGGTTTGAGATTTCCAATGTTTTTGCAATTAATGTCCTTTGCTCTTGGATTCCCTGCAACAACTGCCTTTCTACACTTATTGGGCAGAATTAGTGGATGCAAAGAGGCAGGAGAGGAGAGAGAGAAAGCAAGGAAAATGTATGGAGATGAAAAGGAACTAGAATGAGGAAGGTAATGCAGCCACCAATGTGCACAAACTAAGGCCCCACAGTCAGCAACAGGATAATGCTCAGATACTCCAGACTTTTCTGTGGTATTAATTTAGGGTTAATTGTCCTTGGCAACAGTAAAATCCCTCTACTCTTCACTGCTAAGATGCTAACAGACATTTTACAGAAGACACCTTCTCTCAGCGTACAGTAAGGGTTGCTCACTCCATTCTCTTCTGGGTAGAGCTTCTCAGTACCATCCTCAACTGGTCTGGTATTTGGAGAGCAGTTTTTAGCATTGAACACCAGTCAGACTGATGGTTCCGCAGCAGGGAGTTCATCTCAAGAGTAAATCCAGCAGGGTGAGGCCAAATGACTGCAGAGACAACTAGCCAGATATTAAAGCAGTCCTTGCTAAAGCTACTGAATGGCACAGGTGGGGGGAAAACCTTCACGTTCAAGCTGCTGGCAGAGACTGAAGCCATTAAGTTAAAGAAAACAATCAAAGCAGCAACAGGCTGTGTATGTGGGGTCATGACATTAAAAAACATGCAAACTTCAGGCTACGTTTTGTATTTTGTTCATAGCATTGCTTTTGGCTCGTAGAATTAATGAGGGGACAAAGCAGCATGTGAAATTATTTACAGGAAGCATTCTGAGGGATTTATGAAAAAAATGACAGACAGCATAATGCAGATGTAATGTCACACCAACACTGCAAGGCTCACGTGTCAATTCTACGCTTCCCATATAACTGCAAAAAAAAGTCAACACTTACAGGCAGCTTTCATATAACATGCTGTGCGCCAGGTGCTTTCAAAGTACTGAATGTTATAATTTGGATTGTTTCATAGAATTAGTAAGCTGTCCTTCACTGCAATGTAAACAGGTGTAACACACAAACTCAGGAACCACCTACTGACCCTTTCCAACTGTTCCTGTAAGCATTCTCTCTTGGACTCTGGGCAGTTATCAAGCTTTTTCTTCAACTCAGAGTAAACCTCTCGCAGCCTCTCTACTCCCTCTCTCTCAGTTTTCAAATGTGTTTTCTCCTGAAAAGCAGAGCACAGAAATAACAAGGAATAGTGACTTAAAAGGAATCGGTGCCCGCCGCGGGTACATTGCTGACTTCCTTGCGCCCACTGGCAGTGCTGAGTATGGCTGCTCTGTAATCAGGCTCGGGGAGGGGAGGGTCCTTTTGCTGAGGTTACTAACTAAAAGGGCATGTTTCATAGCAAAAGGGGGAGGCTATTCAGCCCTTTGAACTTGTTACACCTATTGGTTAGACCATGGCTGATTTGTAGCTCCATTCTACAGACGTACGTTTCCTCCACATTTTTTCATAACCTCATAGAGATTAAAAAAAGTCAGTCAATCTGAATTATGAAATTATTTGATTTATTTTGATTTATTTATTGTCACGTGTATTTTGTCACAAAGTATGGTGAAAAATGTCATAAAATGTTGCCACTCTTTGGCACCATCTTAAAATGCAGAAAAATAAAGAAATGAAGAAATAAAGTTCAACTTTACAGTCCTTCTTGTTAAATGCTGAGTGATGGGTCTGGAGCAGCCAGCCATGAGTCCCCTCACTGTGCTGTCGGAACAACAATTACTACTCTCCGGCACCTCTCACCTGCAATTTTTTTTTTTTTTTACAAACAATTTCCAACAGTTCCAGATTTCCACTAACTTCACTCCTAAATTCTCTGGATTCCAAACTTATGTTTGCTTGTTCTAGACTCCCTCATCCAGGAACGTCTTTCTTTCCCTCTCTCCTGATGATTCCTTTAATTTTCTCAAGCACTTCAGTTACATCAGCCCTTAATCTTCTATATTCCAGAAAAATAATTCCTAACTTAGTTTCCTCCTGAGCAACATGATCCACCTTCCAAAAGCTAAAACCAGCTAAAATAACTAATAAGTGACTGTTCCAGATGACACAAGCAAACGCCAGCAACATGCACGATAGTGCCAGACAACAGCCATCTCCAATAAGAGATAATCTAACCATGTCCCCTTGAATTCAATGGCATTACCAGCACTGAATCCCTCACTATCAAAGCCTGGATGTTATCATTGACCAGAAACTCAACTGGACTCAACATGGGACTAGATTAATTGTGAAAACTGGGCGGCATGGACAAATTGGGTCAAAGGAACTGTTTCAATGTTGTAAAACTCTATGACCCTACAAAAATAGTGGCTAAAAGAGTAGGTGAGAGGCTAGGAATCCCGCAGCGAGTAACTCACCTCCTGACTTCCCAGAGCCCATCCACCATTTACAAGGAGCAAGGAATGAGTGCGATAGAATATCCCTCACTTACCTGGATGAGTGTGTTCCAACAACACTCAACATGCTAGACGTCATGTAGGACAAAGCAGCTCATTTGAGTAGTACCATATCCACAAACATCCACTCCTTCCACCACTGTCAGTCAGTAGCATCGGTGTGTACCATCTACAAGATGCACTGCAGAAATTCACCAAACCTCCTTACATAGTACCTCCCTAGGCCACGATCACATCCACCCAGAAGGACAAGAGGAGCGGATACACAGGAACAACTCCACCTGCATGATTCCTCCAAGCCACTCACTAAGCTGATGTGGAACCATTCCTTCAGTGTTACTGGGTCAAAATCCTGAAATTACCTCCCTAACAGCAATGTGGGTCTACTTATAGCTCGCAGACACAGCGGGTCAAGAAGGCAGCTCACCACCATCTTCTCAAGGGCAACTTGAGATGGGCAGTAAATACAGCCGGAAACACCCTCTTCCCACAAGGGTATTAAAAAGTATCAAATAACAGCAGAGGGTGCATACAGCTTATTAATCCATTATCGCAGGAAAGCATGATGGCAGAGCAATGAGGGGGCTATAACACAAAAAACAGAAATTGCTGGAGAAACTCAGCAGGTCTGGTAGTATCTGTGCAGAGAATGCAAAGTTAACATTTTGAGTCCAGTGACCTTTCTTCAGAGCAGGATATGTTTGTCCTCGTTAGTGTAATGATAATGAAAACATGAATAAATCACCGATTGTCCATGCAGCCTGTCATTCTTGTAACAGCTGTGGCTTTAACAAGAACACATGACAATTGCATAACACCCTGACCAGAGAAATAATATTTAGGGATACCATTCTAGAGAGTGATGCCTAGATGACTAAAGGCATAGTTGGCAAAATCATAGGATGCAAATGAGGTCAAAGTCAAACAAATAGGTAGAGTTCAAATGGGGAAGCAGTTGATGATTGGGGGACTGGAGCAGATTACCGTGGCTGGGGCTGTGGGCTGAGAGCAGATTACCATGGGCTGGGACTAGATTACTGTGGTCGGGACTGTGGGCTGGGAGCAGATTACCGTGGGCTGATTACTGTGGGCTGGGCTGGGGAGCTTGTAGACAGGTTGGAAAATTTTAAAATTGAGGCTGTCAGGCAAAGAGCCAGTGTAGTTCACAGCTCCTGAAGAGAATGTTAAAGAAATGGGCACCAAAGTTTTGCATGAAGATGGAAGATGGAACCCAGCCTGTAGGGATATTTGGGTCAGGAGGTAACAAATATTTGGACAACAGTTTCCAATACATTCAGTCTGAAGAATTTTGAGGTGTTTCTGCTTTTTAAAAAAAAGCTGTACAATCCAAAAAAGTTGAAATAAGGAATGCAAAATGAAACATTTGGAGATAGCAAGAATTGTAGATGATGGAGACATCCTCCAGCTCCACACTGTGCTGTGTCTGCAAGATGAAACAGCTCCTTTGTGTCATAAAATTATTTTAAAATGCAGGCTAAACCACATATTTCTGGGAACTGGAAGTGGATGAGAACAGAAACATAGAAATCAGGAGCAGGAATAGGCCATTTGTCCCTTCGAGCTGGAATGCAGCCTAAAATCCATCCCCTGAGATACAGTGGGTGAGGAATTTACAATTCACACAACTGAACTGAAATCCCACTGTGGTCTCACTCACGTCCTCTCCCTGTATTCTCACCAGTCTGTTTAACCATACCCCTACCACAACTCCCCATTTCTCAGACTTTGGTCCCTTGGGTTTTTTTCACATTTCCTGTTGTCTTCAGTTATCAAAGCATCCAATAGGGAGACAGAAGGTGCTGACTGGTAATCCCAAGGTTCGTCCAATGAGATAATGATGATCCTTGCCTTTTATTTGTGGGTCAGCGGGTCCTACCTGGATGAAATTTGACAGACTAATAGCAGCAATGTGTAGGGGCTGGACAGTTGGAGCCAGGAATTGAAAATACCATCAACCATGATTGGTATCCGCTAACCACAGTCCTCGTCATCTAGATTTGCCAGGCTAACCCCTGAAAATGGGTGGGTGTCCACATTATCACTGATACAGCCACAAACCAGAGAAGCCCAACCCGCACTCTGTAGGTACTCATTACTGAGCTCCAGCACTGAGTGCAAACCACCATGAGGACAACACAATCTCTGCTCCGTGACTCAATCCTCTCAAATATTGGGTAACGCAGCCAAATAGGACTTCACCGCTTCAAGCAGACTGGTTAAATCATAGCAATCTATGGATGCACTCACAAACACCCTTGAGCAGGCAGAGAGTTGGGAGGTGGGTGTTGTTGGTGGCACGGAAAGGACAGGGAAGGCTGTAGCTTTTGCAAAAGATGGCATTCAATAAACATGTAAACACACAACTGCACATACAAATCCCACATATATTCAATGACTGGGTTCCAAAACCAGGCTTTAGGATGCTCTGTACCATTTTACTACTGCAGCCTATCCCACTTGGAACAGTGTAACAGAATAGAGAAACAAGGAGTTATTTACACAAAAAATCTGCATCTACAGAGCACTTTCCACAGTCTTAGGATGGCCGTAGCTAATCACATACTTTCGATGTGTTGCAATGTAGGAGAAACAGCAGATCATTTGCACACGGAAGCTCCCACAAGCAGGAATATGACAAACACAAGATAATTTTTCTGTGATGATGATGGAAGGACAAATAGTGGCCAAGACACCAGGGCTGAACTGCCTGGCTCATCTTCAAATAGCATCATGGGATCTCTCACCTTTGTAATGTGTCATCCAACAGACAGAGCCTCTGACACTGTAGCACTCTCCCAGTAATTCACAGGAGGGTCAACCAAGATACCATGTTTGTAGCTCTGGAATGGTAATTGAGCCCGTGAACGTCTGTGCCCTGTAAATATCTATCCTCAGTAAACATCCTTCAAGTCAACTTACAGATTAATCCCCATTTTACTGAAAGCAACTGTCATCCGTAGTTGCACAGTTTCATGGCAAGGTTCTCAAAGATATGACTATCACTTAGAATTTAACAGCAGTGGTTGTAACTAGAAAGCTTTCATCGTGCTAGCAGATGGAAGGGGAAGATCTGTGATCAACTGGATGAATGGTTATAGAATTCCCAAAAGAAAAGAGGGTGGTGACTGTGATCTAAAGTCATCAAATGCACTGTCAAAAGCTGAAAACACCAGGATTCCTGATAGGAAAATGGTGCTCAAGCCAGTGGAACAAAGTAGGACAATGTGGCCAGAGAGCCAGTGTGGGAATGAGACTGAGTTCCCAGTTTGTCTGAGACAGCCTGTAATGGCTTGTGCCTCCGCTGGATCTGTTCCTTGGATTTTATTCGCCCCCGGTACTGTCTCCTTTTGAATTCTGCCATCATCCCTTTTTGTAATTGAATCTTGCCTGCTTTCTACCTTATCATAGACGTTTACCTTTTGCTCTCTTCAGGCACACCCTTCCCAGCAACCCTTTATCCATAACTGCAATTGGTTAAAAACCATTCACCTCTGACACAGGAACATAGGAACAGGCCGTTCAGCTCCTCAAGCTTGCTCTGCCTTCTCGATCACGGCTGATCATCTACTCAATGCTGTAACCCCTGATGTTATTCATACCTAGAAATCTATTGATCTCTAACTTGATCACATTCAATAATTGAGCCTCTGGAGTAGATAATTTCAAAGACTCAAGATAAATTCTTCCTCATCTCAGTCCTGAATATCCTGCCCCTTGTTCTCAGTAAGTATCCCCTGGTCCTAGAACCCTCCTACCATCAGGGGAAACATGTATCTGATGAAAGGCCACAGAGTTGAAACATTCAACTCTGTTCCTCTCTTGAAAGATGACAAGTGTTTCCACCATTGCCTGTTTTAATTATATAAAAATTAGCACGTTTACCATCTCTAATTTCCTGATGTGAACCCCTGAGGACTTTCATTCTCCAATTTATTCCTTCCCTCGCTACAGTTGTATTTTTTGGACAAACTACAGTAAATTGCACAGCACTGTTGGCTGGTTGACCCAACATACAGGCCAAGCAACAAAATATCTTTTCTCTGCAGGACCCCTTGCTAAGTGTTAACTGGGTTTAAGGACGGCAAATTATCTCCAAATCTAAAACTGCTCTTTTGCAGCAGAAAGTACATCACCAGCAGTTTAACTCTCTCCGATGATTCGTACCTTCACCTTCTCGGATGTGACACTGGTCTCCAGGTCAGTTATCTTCTTCTGTAGCTGCTCCAAAACATCTTTCTCATATTGGACGTGTGAAATCTCAGAGTTCCTCTCCCCTTCTAACAAGGCACGCTCCATCTCCATCTGTGAAATTAACAAAGACAATGACCCTTTTCCATTGAACAACACAAGGCTACATCATTAGGTAAAAAAATATGTTTGCATCTTCCATTCTACCTTGTCATTAGAAAAAAATCTGTATACGAGAGGAAAAGAAATCCCTAAACAAGTGTCATTCTTCATGGGAGACACTGGTGTAGTGAGAATATCACTGGGCTAATAATCCAGAGGCCCAGACTAGATGCACTGAGGAACCTGACAGCTGTTGTGTGTTCTCCACTTTAAGGTGGATCTATTGGTTTAAGAAGCAGTGCATGGTAAATTGACCAGAATCTGGACTCCAATGGCTCAATTATGAGAAGAGTGTACATAGACTAGGGTTATCTTCCTTGGAATATGGAAGAGCAAAGGGTAATTTGATCAACATGCAGCCCTAAGGTTTGCAGAGGTTGAAGAAGGCAGCTCAGTACCATCTTCTTCAGTGCAATGAACAATGCCCACATCCCATGAATGAATAAAATAAAATGACCTGATGAGTATAGTTGAGTACGGCAGAACTGGGAGGGAATGGGATTTAGTGATAGACAACAGCATTGAGAAAGGGATTTTCCAATTAATCTTCCAACATTTCATATCTGCTTGGAAAAGTGACTAACATACTGAGAGAGCTGGTGAGAAGCAGAGAGCCTCTGGAGGGAATGGTGCAAAAGCTGAAAGCCAGCCTTGACACAGCAGCTCCAGATGTGAGTTGTACCATCCTTCAGCTAACAAAGCCAACTTCAAGGCCAGGCATTCAGAGAAGCTGTGGGCTCCTAGTACAAGTAGCTGTCAAAAGTCAGAAAAGACATGTTCTACCCTCTCAAAGTCCAAAGTAGTCAACCTCCCCTTTTGTCTACTTTGAAACCCATTTGCCCATCCCCTTGCCCCAGCAATATCTCTTGTAATTTTATGTTTCTATTTATATTCTTCAGAGTACTGCTTCCAACTACCATTCCGCTCCTGAACAATCCTTCTCCAAAGCATTCAGTTACCTAGTAACACTCAACCACCTTCCTGCTGCAATTCTGCACATTTCCTTTAGATAACAGTCAAACTGCCTCTTGAGCTTCTTCCTTTACAATCACAACGCCTTATCTGTTTAGCAGTGGAATAATACCATGAGCAATTCCATTGGAGAAATGTCTTGGGCATTCTATTCATTGGAAAAACACAGGTCCACATATCTGGAATTATGGACTTGGAAAATAGCCTCCACTGTATTCAGTACCTCTTGTGAGGACTCCTCCATCTGATTGTCTAGCTCTTTGATCTTCCTGTTAATTTCTTCCACATTATTCAAGATGCACACACATTCTTCCTCCAATTGGGTAATTCTCTCTTTCACGTTCCTCTCAGCCAATTCCTTCTCTTCCTGAAAGACAAAAATCAAATTGTTTGATTGAACAAACACATGAATCGATCAGCTCCAAACTGAGCATCCACTAGTGAACTCAGAAACATGATGGTGCCAAAGAGTGGCATACTCTGTCCTATGTAGAGGGAAAGACAATCGCTTGACCTGCACTCCTCTGACTAGGCCCAAAATCTCCATAAAGGCCTCCAGGCCTCCAACTCCCATTCCAGAATTAGGGTAATTTTATTTTTTTTCTATTTCAACCAATCACCTGACCATCTTATAAAAAGGGATAGAAGTGCAAAAATCTATTTGTTAGCCTAAAATCACTACTTATTTGAAACATGAAAAACATTTTTGCCAAATAATGATGTAAACATGACAATGGTCTTGGGAACTCTCAAATAGTCCACTTTCCAAAAAGTTACTCTGATAGTAATGTTAAGATTGGAATGCACTCTGGGTAAAACTATATTTTATGGCCTCGAAGAAAGGCATTTTTACAACAATATTTCCCACTCATTAACTTTTTTGTTTAATTCGTTCACAGGATGTGCGCTAGCTGGGCCAGTATTTATTGCCCATTCCTTAATGCTCTGGAAAAGGTGGTGTGAGCTGCTTTCTTGAATGTCAGTAGTCCGTAGTAGGGACAGTGAGATCCAAGACCCAGCAGTGAAAGGCCAGTCATGGCTCAGTTGGCAGCATTTGACCTTGGGGTACAATATACAACCTGGAGAGTGAAAAGAATCCTCAGTGAGGGTAGGAAAGCCTGACTGCCAATGGGCATAATCACTGCTGCCCTTTCCCCGCCTCAATGTATGTTTGTACACTGGGAACAGCACTTGCCTCAAAAATATCTTCCTATCCTTAACCCCGTAGGCTTGAACGGATTTCTGACTGAATGCATCAGAAAACTGCAGATCAATGTGGAATGGAACAGAGCTGAGCCAGCGCTAAATGCTAACAGAATACAGCTCCTCCGTGGCTGTGGAAGAAATCCCATTATCACTGAGATTATACAAAATGCCATAACCTACAGAAGACCCAGCAAACCCACCGGACTGCGTGCTACAGTTTCCTTTTATAAGTCAATACGAATGGTTACAGTTGTCAACACAGAACCATCTGTGTAATGTCGCATTTCACCAGCCCACAGGGAAAGAGCTCCAGATGCTGTTCCCTGACCGGGTGGTGTCATATTTTAGCTCGTTATAGATCTGCTACAATCCCATTCTTCCTTCCGGACCCCATATCTCTCAGAACATGGTATCATTGCACAGACAAATATCTCAGCCATCTCGTCAAAGGCTTATCTTTGCTTTTAACGATGAAGTGCAAACAATAGGAAAGGTTGGTGGGGGGGGGGGGTTTTGAAAGTGGTAAAACAGCAGGGGAGCCTGGGGGTATCTATGCACAAATTGTTGAAGGTAGCAGACATGTTGAAAGCATGGTTAATGAAGCAAATACCATGCTGTAGGGGCAGAGAGCCCAAGAGTGAGGTGGTTACATTGTACCTGAATTAAAAACAACTGGCTGTACCTCAGCTGCGGTAGTGTGTCCAGTTCTAGGCCCTAGAACTTTGGAAGGGTGTGAAGCCACTGGATTCTGCTGTCTCACAGAAAAGAGTCATGAGAACAATGCTAGGCACAAGGAATTATGGTCAGTGGATAAATTGGAAAGATTGGAACTGTTCCCCTTGGAGAAGGCCAAGAGGTGGCTGATGTTCAAAATCCTGTGGGGTCTGGACAGAGTACTGAGGGAGAAACTGTTCCCATCAGTAAAGGGATTATGAATCAGAGGACATGGGTTTAAGGTAACAAGGTGTAGAGCTAGATGAACACAGCAGGTCAGGCAGCATCAGAGGAGCAGGAAAGCTGACATTTCGGGTCTGGACCCTTCTTCAGAAATGGGGGAGGGGAAGGGGACTCTGAAATAAATCGAAAAGGTAGGGGGGAGGCGGATGGAAGGTGGATAAAGGAGCAGATAGGTGGAGAGGAGACGGACTGGTCAAGGAGGCGTGGATGGAACCAGTAAAGATGAGTGTAGGTGGGGAGTTAGGATGGGGGTTGGTCAGTCAAGGGAAGACGGACAAGTCAAGGAGGTGGGGATGAGGCTGGTAGGTAGGAGGTGGGGGTGGGGTTTGGTCAGTGAGGTGGGAGGAGCAGATAGGTGGGAGAAAAGACGGACAGGTCAAGGAGGCAGGGACGAGCTGGGCTAGTTTTGGGATGAGGTCAGGGGTGAGGAGATTTTGAAGCTTGTAAAGTCCACATTGAAACCATTGGGCTGCAGGATTCCCAAGCGAAATGTGAGGTGCTGTTCCTGCAGCCTTCGGGTGGCATCGCTCTGGCACTGGAGTAGGCCCAGGATGGGCATGTCGTCCAAGGAGTGGGAGGGGGAGTTGAAGTGGTTCGCGACTGGGAGGTGCAATCGTTTGTCACGAACTGAGCGTGGGTGTTCCATAAAGCGGTCTCCAAGCCTCCACTTGGTTTCCCCAGTGTAGAGGAGGCCACATCAGAACAGCGAATACAATGTACCACGTTAGCAGATGTGCAGGTGAACATCTGTTTGATGTGGAAGGTTTTCTTGCGGCCTGGGATGGGGGTGAGGGGGGAGGTGTAGGGGCAGGTGTAGCACTTCCTGCGGTTGCAGGGAAAAGTGCCCGGGTGGTGGGGCTAGTGGGGAGTGTGGAGCAGACATGGGAGTCACAGAGAGAGCGGTCCCTCCAGACGGCAGATAAGGGTGGGGAGAGAAAAGTGTCCTTGGTAGTGGGGTCAGATTGCAGGTGGCGGAAGTGGCGGAGGATGATGCGTTGAATCCAGAGGTTAGTGGAGTGGTACGTAAGGTATGTAACGATGACAGCAGAGCTCAAGACAGGCAACTCCTCGAAATGTCTGGAAAACTGTGGATCACTTCACTAGAAAATGGCAGGCTCACAAGATTGGCCAGGCAGCTAAAGCTAAAACACCAAACAGTGGAGAAAGACAGAGAGAGGGGGCCGGCAGGGCGTGCCAG